CCATGTAGATCTGTAACAGATCACAGCTGCTCTGAGCTCCTGGCCTTGGTGCCCTCAGGAAAGGGGGAACATTGCTGGTTTGTGTCCATGTAGATAGACAGATCACAGCCTTCAGAGACCTTCTCACTTGGCTTTTGGATACCAAGGGTGTTGTGCCAAAGATGGTAGGAGTGTACTTGGCAATGGTAATGACTTGGCTGCAGTCAAAGCAGTAGTGTACTTCATGTTGTCTGCTGGTACCTTCTCAGATGAGAAATCAGGAGATTTATTGTACACTGAAGTTTTGTACCTATAAAATTGTCTTTAACTGCATAACACTTAGTGGGATTTCCTTAGGTATGTGTTAAGGTTCAAGGCTGAGTTCTCTTTAGATGTAGGTTATCTTCTATGAGGGAAGAAGGCTGTTGAGTATTAAATAACTTYCTTGTCATCTAGAGAAAAGAGAATTGCAGGTGCAAGTTTGCTGAGTGGTTCTGTTTTCCTGTTGCTGAAACCAACTGCTGTCCTGTMGTTTATAACTAACATATAGACGTGTGTAGGTTTATGTGGTGCTGAGTAGTGTTCCAAACATGAATCCTTCCTTTCTCTTTTCACAAGCCTGGTTTGTATTGTTGAGCTGATGCTTTATACATAAATTAAAGATGTTTCTGAATCTGTCACCTATTTTAAAAGCTTTTATGTTTATGGCAGTAACACCTAAGTAAACATAGGCAGTGCCTTTCTAAGAGGATGAAGATGTCACAATTTGTCAGGCTGGCATTACCATCAGATTTCATGTGCTGAGGGGCTTAGTAGCAGTGTGTGCAGTGATTGGTGCTGCTGGGGAAGGAATTASTTCTCTTGTGAAAAGGGGTCCAATTTCTAGAACAGAATACCTTGCTTATACCTGGTGAATGTTTTCCGAGCAGAGTGATGCTGGTTGCAGTACCAGGTAATGTGCAGTTGGATGGAGATTTCCAAACTGRGCACCTTTGTGGAGAGCTGAGACACGGAGTGACAGATAACAGCTCCTGGCTCTTGTTGTTGGTGTTGCTGTGATCGTGGGTTARTGATGGGCCAGAAGATGCTGCATTKCTGACAGCATTGTGAGGAARTGGATTTCTTAAACAGCTCCTGTACCCACTTAATCATCTGTGCAGAACTGGGACCAAGCAAGGGAATCTGCTTTGTCCCCGGGGAACTACCCCTGCCTGGCTTTTATAGATTGCACAAAGGCTGTTGCTGGGCTCAGGATCACCCTGTGCTCCAGCAGGGACAGGTATGGGTGCAGAGCCTCCCAGGCACACTGCCTGTCTCCTTGCCAGGCTGTACAGTGGGAAGGAGCTGCCCAGACCGGTTGTGCAGGCAAGAAATGGGCTTCTTTGGAGCCTTTCTTTGTCAAAACCCCCTGCCAGRGAATATATTCCTGCCTCACCTTGTACAGTGCATAGCTTTGTGTAGSTATAAGTCCTGCCATTTTTATTTTATTTTGCTTTACTTTTTGTTCTGTTTCATTTTGTTTTTTACAGACAGGCTGGTGGACAGGAGAGCATCTTCAGATAAGAATGTGGAGCCACATGCTGCTCCACAGACAAGTCCTCCTGAAGATCCCTTTGGTTCTGTTCCTTTCATTTCTCAGCAAGGCAAGTTCCATCTGTGACATGATAAGCTCGTAGCTGTACACAGACATAGCTGTAGGTGGATGTGTGTGCTCAAGTGTGCACTTCAGTGATGAGACATTGGCAGAGGGCTCAGCTGCCTCCTAACAGCACATGCATTGAAGGGATGTGTATTTATTGATGAGCTCCAGTTAAAACCACTCTGCATGCAGCTCCTGGTGCCAGTGGAGCCCTGGGACAGGGGGTGGTTCTGCAGGCCTGAGCAATGGGCACCAGCTGGGCACAGCTACGGGTGCTTCTGCTGAAAGCAAATTCCTTCTGGAGGCCAAATTTGGCTCCTTCCCTGGAGTCTGCTTCTGACTTCCACTGTTTCTGTAGTTCAGTTCTCCAGCCAAGTGAAGACAGTAAGCTTCTACATGTTTAATGCACAGTTTTGGTACAAGCTGAGTCAAACCCAAACATTKTATATTGTCTGTACATGGGGAGGGTGGACATTCATTATTGCTTTTCAGTTCAGCTTTGRCTATGCTTACCTTCAATGGAAGTAAAAATAATGTATTATGTGGGCATTTTAAAAGGGAAACTGCATCATCCTGCAACTTAAGCAATAGTTTTAACATTTGGTTGATCAGCACTTTAATATTTATTTTGGTACCCCTGACAAAGTAGAGCCTGTGTGGTAGCTGAATGATAAAAAGAGCATCAGTCACTTCTGGAGCCGCTTAGGTTTTGTTGAGAGTTCTTTTGTGATAAAAGTGCCTTAGTATGACTTGTAAAGACTGTTCTTGTGGAACTTTAAAAGCTCAGGTAACATGCCTTAAAATAAACCAGCGGGGTCAACTGTAGTTAGTATCTTCCCCTTAGATCTTGCATTCTCGGGGGTGCTCTGCTGGGGCTGCACAGTGCTCACCAGTGCTCCTTYACTGGTGAATGGTGAACAGGGTGATGCTGTTGTGTTCTTCAAAGCCTTTGGTAAAAACCCCTCTGTGTCCATGGCTGCTCCTGTCCGCAGACTTGAATTCATTCTACTTTGTCTAGGACTGTGTTCTTGGTGTTTCTGTTCTGCTCACTCAGGACAAGTTTGCTTTCTGTCATCTTGTTCATGTTCTGTCGTTCAGTGCCATGTGCCAGCCATTTAARTGAAGAAGAGTTTGCTGTGTTTGGAAGGGTTTTCCCTGGCATCTTCATTCCASAGGTTGCTTTGACTTGTAGGTGAGCCTGAATTCACATGCAAAATGAACAGGAATAGTTTACACTTAATTTAAGATGGGGACCACCACATACTCAGTCCCCTGCCAAGTATTCATACCCTYGTGTCCAGAGATTATTTTCCTGCTKTCCTCACCGGAGGTCTTGGAAATGCATTTGATTGTTACTGTTTCTTCAGATGCTTATAATATAGCTKTAGATTGTAACAAATGTCCTCACTGTATTATATTGTGCTTTATTTTTGTTACTTGGAATCCAAGCTCTAATTCTTGACTTACAAAAAAAAAAAAGGGAGTTGCCTTCTATTAAGGGGAAGAAAAAAACCCAGAAATTCAGTTATGACTGAAATACTAGGCTGTTCAAAACATGATGAGCTGGTTGTGAACTGGTAGCTGTGGCACTGGGAAAAAAAATCATGCATTTTTCAATAGTGTTTTCTCATATGGACTTGTAACTGGCATTTCAACAAGAGTAAATACTAGCTTGGTTTCTAGGAAGGTATTGTTAATGATGCRTTAACTGTGACTTGCTCTCATTAAACAAATCAGATACAATCAATCTTCAAATGTTRATATTCATCTTTTAAAAGCTGGTTTGTGTTCCCCACTGAACTGTTCTTGGTAATGTCTTGAAAAGAGGTGTTGTATGACAGCTAAGAAAAGGAGRAGGCTGTTGACTTGGACATATTTAATTTGTTGCTGAGGGCATTCTGGGGCAAACTTGACAAATGTCCCTCCCTAATATTTTGATATCTGCTTGTACTTAACATTGTTGTGTAACATGTTCTTTCTGGTTTGTTCCTTGTGTTTGTGAAACATGAAACTGAGAAGTAAACTCCCTGTGTACCTTACTCAGGGCATCTAAGGGCAGGTGACTGCATGGCAAGTGGAACAGGGGTTTATTCTTGGAATGCAATTCCAGTGTTTGCAGGGAGACTCTCGGATCTTGTTAAAGCACAAGTTTTATTTCTTTATTGTAACATGTCTCGGGCCAAATGTGGACTGTCTTAGCACTGTTTGCCCAGGGCTCTGACTACTGAATTCTGACTTGTTGAATTACAGTGAGATTAAATGTTGACTTTATAAACACAGGATCTTCAAATTAAATAAAATTGCCTTTCTTGAAAAGTGGCAGTTCTTACTGAAGTCGTTCTACAGTGCTGACTGTGGTTTCACCTCAAAAGGGTGGGGTTTTTTTCTGCTTGGTTTTCCTTGCTGTGGCATGGGTCTGGTGTATAAATGGTATATGTGGGCTTGGCTGAGTAGAGCCATCCAGAGGATTYCTTCTGTTTTGGAGGCATAAGGGTTGTGTGCTGAAAGCAGCTCTGCACTCAGTAAGTGACTGATTCCTGTCACCTCCTGAGGGACAGCAGCAAGATGATGAATATCACATGTCCTCTTTTGACTTAGCAACGTCGAGTGSTGGCAGTCTGGCAAAGTAAGTGTCACCAGGTATGTTAACTTGTGTCCAGGAAGGTGAGGCAGGGGAGCAGCACAGGTTGGAATTGGAACCTTCGGCCATCGCTGGGAGAATCCCTGCACTGCTGTGACTTGTGGTATTCCCTGTGGAGCTGAGAGTGCATTTCAGRCTGGCACTGCTGCAAGGATCTCCAGGAAAACACCCTGGCACTGGATGGACTGTGGCTGCTTTCCTGTCTGACCTTCTGTGCTTGTTCTTGTCTGGTGGGAATGGGGAGCCAGCAGCAGCACATGTCCCTTGGCAGCACAGAGGGAAAGGGGTGTGAAATGAGCTGATGGCTCTCGGGTTCCTCTTGGTCTGGGGAATAGGGAAGCACTGTGGAAGCTCTCGGGGTCTCTCATCCTCACTGTGTATCCTATTAAAAGCCTTCTCACAAGTAAACTTGCTACACACACTACTTTATGCCTGCATTTTGGTGGAAAATTGTAAAATCCTAAGACCTGAGATGACTGGAAAAGAAAATGGGCCTGGGAGAGAATTCCAGTGCTTGATATGATAGAAACAAACCCGACATTGCAAACTTCTTAATGAAAGGAGAAAAGACAGCACAGTTGAATGGCCAGCACTGGGTGCTTAGACACTTCACATGTGGAAAACAGATCCTGGTTCTGAAATGGCTGCAACTGATGGTGACAGTGGAAAAAAAACATCTCCTGTGCTCAAGTGTTTTGAAATGGAAGTTTTTTATTCAAGTGTATGTTAACCAGCTTGTGTTTAATCCCCTTTGTTATTATGAAGTATTTCAGAAGTTCAGGAGAAACAAATTTTGTGCTGCTTTCAATGTAAGAAGGGAATGTCTTGAGTTTAGTAGTTTACTGGTGAGTTGTACTTGGTGCCTTTTGCCATCTTGCATTTGTTCACACTAATGGTTYGTGGGATGAAGCCGAGCTAGGATGGTCTTTTGCTTCCCTCAGCTTAATAYTGCAAATCCCAGAAGCAATGCAAGAACTGAGGTAACTCTCAAAATTATATGGATGGGCTTTGTGAGAAGTGGAGGTGTTGGGAAATGTTGCCTGAAACTGTTTTAGGCTTTTGGCTGCTGTGGAGAATCTCTGTGAGCGCTCTCCTGGCTTGGATCTTGGGATAGGGTTCTAGTTCAGGTCATCTCATTAACACTTCTCCTGAAGATTTATRTGGATCATGTGTGCTGTAGACGTGGTGCTGCTTGACTAAGTCACTTTGTTTTTGTAACCTGCATGGGGAACCCATTCTGAGCCACTGCAGGCATATTCTCTGTGCAGACTGAATAAAAGCGAATTCAATTGTGTAGCTGCTTCCTTCTGACTTGCAGACTTCCCACACTCTGTGAGGTGGTATGTTCAGTGATCACTGGAGGTGTCAGTCCTGGAGTAAGAGGGGCTGTGTGCTGTGGTGGTGTCTGTTGTCCCAGCTGTGTGGATCTTGCAGGAATCCAGCCTGCTGTGTGCCAGCCCTGGGAATGGTCTGGAGCCTGAACACATCCCTGCTGCAGTGGGTCACAGCACAACCGTGTGCTCTTCCACAGGAACAGACATGGGCTGATTGCTCATTCACTTGGCTTTTGTGTACTGCTTCCAGCAGGGTTTCAAACCTGCAAGTTCTGTACCGTGACTGTGGAGCCCTGGAACCACCGTGCCGTCTGGGCCTTGAAGTGAGACACAGCTCACTAGAATTTAAGAAGAAATCATTAATATCAGACCAGRAGAAACAAAAAGACTTGAGCTGCTTTTACAGCTTGAAAAAAGCTCCTGCCAACAGTTGTTGTTTCTTAGACAGCTGATGCTGTTGAATGTCAAAAGATGCCCARACCTGTTCAGTGATGTGGCTGTTGTACAGCATTCCAGGTTTAGGTTGCTTGACAAAATAAGTTTATATCAATATTTGTACTCATTATGTTACTCTGTACCTTCTCCTTGGCTGTGGTTTCAGGTATTCATAGTGCTTGCTGAATGCAGGTTCAGGATATTTCCCTTTATGAAGGTAATCTTGAACTTCAGCTATTCTAGGTAACACTTCCTAAGTAACCTGAAATTGTTCACCCATCATACGTAAAAATATGTGTGCGCTCTGCCAAGAGTCTGCTTTTTCTCTTCAAAATAATCTACTGSTTTCTTACATTTTTTTTCAAGTCTTGTAGCACATTGCACTTTTTAAATTTAATTTCACTTTAATCTCTAGATTAATTATTTAAAAGCATGTCAGCAACAGCTGCCAGGCACAAGTRTGGTGTTCTTCCATTTTTGTTGTTCTTGAAAATGAAGGTGATAAGATGTGTAAATCCATTACATGGTTGAGCAGCTGCTGCCCTGGCTGTTGTCAGAGAACTGGTGCAGATTKAGTTGCAGCCCGCCAGTAATCCTTGGGCTGACATGTGGCAAATTGTTATGAAATGATGGTGGCAGTATGTTCCCAATTCCAAGGGAGCTTAAAGCTCTTCTGCCCCACTCTTGGGCCACCCCCGCAATACCCTAAAATGAGGGACCAGCAGAAGGCATGTAATTACTGCAGTTGTTAGAGAGAATTCATCCTCTTATAATCCCGTGTCTCGAAAAAGAACATCAGAACAGAAAATTTCCTTGAAGATTGGGATCTTCTTATATGATTAAAGATGTTCCACCTGGCTTGCATTTGAGCAAAGAACAATTGTTCCCTACAAGCTGCAAACCTGATTAGAAGTGTGGTAATCTGCAGGGCACATTGCAAACAGATGTTGCTCASCAGTGTGCAGCATGGCTGTGTAAATGTGTATCTGAACAGTCTCTGCAGCAGTGTAGCCTGACAAGATTGCATGGAATCAACGTGACAGGACACTGGTTTGGCAATCTGTTTGGCCAGAGCATTCAGTTGCCATTGAGCAGGGGTTTTGCCCTTTTTGGGGGATTGTTTCTGTGTGCAGGTCTCTTAATTGCATTTGCTAACTTCATTAGCAGTGAAATGGGCAMTTGTAGTGTAGAAAATCAAACCATTTCTATCATACTTTAAAAACCAGTAGTTCTAGGGAGGATGTTTTTGTTTCTTTGGTTTGGTTTTGATTCTTGTCTGATGCCGTTTTATACCTGTTCCTGGGCCTAACCTGAAGCCACTGCAGCTGCAAAGGTGGGTGCAGCAATGGTTTGTTCCCTCAGGGTTGGCCAGACAGGGCTAAAGCTGTTCAAGATGAGTATCTCAGTTTCTGCKTGGAGCAGGTGCCTCTGGTTGTTTCTAACATCTGAACGCTCACAGAAGGATAAACCAAGATGCTTGTTCTCTCCTGACACCCTCCAGTGTGGGAGCAGTGATGTCACCATTCTGGAAATAGTTTCTGGAATAAAAGTGTTTTCTTCAAACCCGTCTATCGGGAGCAGTTGCTGTTCCGAGTGTCATCTGATGTGTGCCACTTGCTTTCCAGGTGACAYTGTCAATGCAGGATCACACACGCTGCCTCTGCAGCTTTGGTAATAGAGAGCTCTTAGTGAAGGTTTTGAGTTTCTACTTGCTGTTGATTAAATCTCAGTCCATACATAGTATCTAGACACTGGTTTCCTGCTTCAATAAGCAAGGCACATTGATAACTCTGGCAAGGAGATTGGAGGAGGAGGAATCTCGGGTAAAAAATGAGACATTTGGAAACCAATGTGTTCAGAGGCCACTGCTGAGCTGAGATGCAGTTATTGTCTGCTGTGATGGTGTTAGAACTGCAAAGAGTCTTCTTGCTGTATCATKGAGTGGCCTCAGAATGAAGATACTTTGGATCCTGTTTTCCCATGTGCAGGGACAGACATTTACAAAAGCATGCCTYAAGCTTCCCTTTGCTGCTGGCTGCCTCACCCGTGCCCACACAAAGGCTGCTGTGTGCCATATGCAGCATGCCGTGGCATTGCCCTCAGTGGGTGCARTGAACTGACCCGTGCCAGAACAAGCACTTCAGACTTTCAGTGTTCTTGTTAGCTGTTCAAGCACTTCCCTGGCTCTGCCTTTGTCAGCCAGCGAGGTGCTCAGCATTTCCTTCAGGAGTGGTTCAGATCTCCAGGTACAGGGAGAAACCACGTGGCTTCTGTGTTGCTGTGCATGCATGTCTCCAGCAAGAGGGATTGCTCAGTGAATTGTTCCTGGCTTGCTCCTAGTTCCTCTGGARACTGCAGTGTCAGACTGGAGAGGACACCTTAGGTGCTGATTCAGTCTCCTGAAAGGCTGCCTGGCCTTGGTGCCTGATTGCCAAGATGATTTGGTGTGTGCTGCCAGCAGGAATCCCAGTTGTGACTGACGGTGGCTCTCTGGGACTGTTGGAGCAGTGCAGGGAGTGCTGTGGGAAATGTCCTCTGCTGTACCCTGTGTCTGGAGAGATGTGGGACTGAGAGCAGCACCCTGTGTGCCTCAAATGGCCCCTTCAGCAGGTCAGCTCTAGAGCTTGGGTGCTTTTGTCTTGTCAGYACTCTTTACAGTTTGTTTTCTACGTACTCTGACTATGGCAGCACTTAATATTGAAACCTTCTGGGCAGTCAGGTATATTAGATAACACTGTGGTTCAGTTCTTCCTTGAAAAAAACATTGCTTTATTAGTTGTTTACTGCGTATTGAGATTTCAGTACAATGGTCTAACCATTCCTTGGGATTGTAAACTCTTGTGGATATGGATGCAGAGAAAAGGTTTGGGTCTTTTGTTGTGTAAGTTCTGTTAACATCTAACCTAGAAATAGTCCCTTTTTCTTCTTTTAAATCTATTTGCATTTATGCTAACATAAGTGTTCCTGTTAATACTGGAAACAGCAGGATTTGGAGGCTAGGGGGTTATATAGTGCAATGTGAAGCTGTACCTTTGGGAAATCTAAAGTAAGCAGCAAAATAATCCAGATTCTAATTTAGTGGGTAAAGCAAATATGTAGCATTTAAAATTACAGCAGATAAGAAGCAATCTGACACCAGAAGGCAAGAAGAAACAGCTCAAAGCCTTAATCACCTGATGTTTTTAGTCATTCTGGTCATCTTGTTTTTAMATCCATACATAAATTGTATTGCTGCTGAATTTTGATTATTTTAAGTGTAACTGCAAAGGAGTGAGGAAGCTGGTGGATGAGGAAATCAGCTGTTAATTCCCTTTAGAAAAGGAAGAAATGGCTGTTGTAATACTGGAGTATAGAAAGAAAAGAATCCCACTTGGCGTGGAAGTTGCATGCTAGWTTCCTTATGAGAGAAGGCATTAGCTGAGAAAATACTTCACATATTGCAAGAACAAGAGTTATGAAATGTATTCAGGCTGAAGATATTTTTTTGAGAAACAGTGGATGCCTGTAGCCATCCCTAGCTTTTTCAATCCTGTGAACACTTGGAGTGGGTTCCACGTTAATGTTTGGGTAACAAAGCCCTAAATGGAAGATGTTGGTTTTGGTTAGGTGAGGTCCACTCCTGAAGGCATCTCCCCACAGTGCAGGGCTCTGACCCAGGGACAAACTGGGCTTGCTAAGTGATGAGAGCAGTGCCAGTGCCACTGTGCAGCCTGCCCTGCCTGCWCTTGCCATCTCTTTTCTGTGCTGCTGCAAATTTTTTACTGCCTCCAGTGTTCCCAAGGCAACCACACCACAAGAGACTCAYTGGTGAATTGTTCTTTCAGTTCTAGTTGTCAGTGAATAGTGACGAGGAAGCTGTCAGAGAAAAATCAGGAGATCTGYTTCCTTCCATAGAGCAGCTGAACTGACAGGTCCTATTTAGACACAAAGCAGAAAGCACATGACTCAAGCTTCAGGTACAGCAAAAGCTTTTTGTGCTCTTGCTGCAGAAGTTAGAAGGAGTTGCTCTCGTGACTAGAGCATTGTTTGTCAGAGCAGTCTGTTGAAGCAGAAGCACATCAAAAAATAGGTTGTCTGCTTAAAAAAAAAATAAAACAGAAAATTTAAACATTTAAATCCTGCAGCCTCCCATTTCCCCAGAGAAGAGTGGCTGTATAATGACTGGGTTTGAAAAGCTGTCTCTAGAGAWCAGCTGTGTCCAGCAGCCCCTTCTCTATGCCCCCAAAATACTGGTACTGTATTTCCAGGCACCTTGTGCTCGAGAAATAAAGCAGGCAGCACTCTGACTTGAGTGTTGCTTGAAATATTAGATCTGATTTTTAGCCCATTTTCCTCCATAAGTACAGGATATATGTTTGCATCAGCTCCTGCATTGTGTGGCTGTGGGATGTGTGCAGTAAGTTTTGCCTTTGTATGTTTTAAGTTTTCTTTTGCTTTTTTCTTTGGACCTGCAGGTTCCCCAGGAAAACAAGTGGATAACTCAGCCAGCAATCAAGGAAATAACTTAGGGACCCCAGCAAAGGCTGGAAAACTGAGCCATGCATTTAGAGATCCCCGGCCAGGGAAGAAAAGTGCAGAGGGACAAGTGACAAAAGGTGGTGAGGAGTCAGAGAGTGATTTTGAATCTGATCCTCCTTCTCCCAAGAGCAGTGAGGAAGAAGAAGAGCAGGAGGATGAAGAAGTCTTACATGGAGAGAATGGAGATTTCAATGATGACAATGATACAGAACCGGAGAATTCAGGTCACCGACCTCTTCTTATGGATTCTGAGGAAGAGGTGGAGGAAGAGGAAGAAGAGAAGCAGAGCTCTGACTCTGATTGTGACCGTACCAAGCAAAAATGTGTTGAAGGGCTCCTGGGCACTCGGTTCAGAGATGGTGTGAGCAGCAGTGAAATCAAAGAGCCCAGTTCGGTGCCTGTGTCCCCGCCTGAGGTGCCAAGCACTGTGATCAACCCTGGCCAAGAATTTGATGTGTTTGGGGCTGTGCCCTTTTTCACTCTGCAACCTCAGGCAAGAGAGAAGGTGGACAAAGATGCTTCTTCTCAGATGGCTTTTCCCAGCCTAAGCCAAGAGCAGGATGACTTTGATGTTTTCACAAAAGCTCCCTTCAGCAAAAAGGTGCCCCAGCARGATGGGCAGGGGTCGGGGATGGAGCCTCTGCTCTCCCCCACCTCTCCACACAGCGTGGATATCTTTGGCTGCACCCCRTTTCAGCCGTCTGCAGGGAGCAGAGAGGACCTGTTTGGGCTGGTTCCATTTGAGGAGATCACCGAGAGCCAGCAGCAGCAGCAGCAGAAGGTGAAGCAGCAGCGGAACCTGCAGAAACTGTCATCCCGCCAGAGGCGCCTGAAGCAGGAGGTGTCCAAGAACAACGGCAAGCGGCACCACGGCACCCCCAGCAGCACCAAGAAGGGGCTGAAGCCCAACTACCGCACCCCGGAGCGCGCCCGCCGGCACCGCAAGGCCGGCCGCAGGGACTCGCAGAGCAGCAACGAGTTCCTGACCATCTCCGACTCCAAGGAGAACATCAGCGTGGCCCTGAGCGACAGCAAGGATCGAGCCAACCCTCTGCAGCCGGACGAGGCTCTGCTGGATCCTTTCGGAGCCAAACCCTTCCAGCCGCCGGAGCTGATGCGCCACAGCCAGCACCAGGGCTTTGGGGACAGCCGCGGGGACCACGGGGCCGTCGTCGTGGCCGGCAGGCCCAGGCAGAGCTCCTTGCACGGGGCCGTTCACGGTGGGGACGGGCTGAAAACAGATGACTTTGGTGCAGTGCCCTTCACRGAGCTGGTGGTGCAGAGCACACAGAGCCAATCACAGCAGGCTCTGGAGTTAGATCCCTTTGGAGCAGCTCCGTTTCCTTCCAAACAGTAAAGGCTTCCCATGGGTTCCTCCCACTCCGCCTCTCCAAGTCCCTTAATAAAGGTTTCATGGAGTCATTCATGTGGTTGAAATGCCAGGGGCCTGAGTTGCACAGCTTGTTCAGGTTGAGGAGGCAATGGCCTGCTTGCACGATGGAATTGCAATTGATAATTCTGATWGGGGTCTTTTTGAGGGAAAGAGATACAAATCAGGAGCGTCATTTTCTTATGGCAGATGGCTCCTCAAATGAAACGAGGCATTGGATATGAATCACTGACCTGGGGCCCTGGGACATACTGTTGTTCTGCACTTTGGTGTTGCCTTTCCATCCCCTGCCATGTGCCCAGGTGGAGAGGAAGAGGCAAGGAGCACATGGAAAACGTTTTCCTTATTTACAGGGGGCTAATGAATGGCGGTGCTTCTTCATGTCTCAGCAGACCTAAGAGCCAAGACATACTAATATCCAGATTATGTGCTGGAAGTAGTCAAGTCTTTGCTTCCTAGGTGAAAACTACCTTTCTTAATCATAMAAATAAAGCAGCCACTTCCTCAAGAGGCTGTGGCCCAGAATTCCAGAGCATAGCTATGGCTTGGGACCTGGCAGACATCTATGCAGCTGCAGAGATGGAAGGCAGCTTATTTTTTTTGTGTGCCTAAGTGGTCAATTTTTAATTATTTTTTTAATAGTAAGTGCCATTAATGTAAAATAGCAAACTGGAAATGTAGAGTCAAAACTAAAGATGCAGATACTTTACTGAGCTGTGAGAAGCCTGAATGTAGGGGAGTGAGCCAAGAGGGACGCGCCGGAATTTGCAGCACTTGGGAGAGTCCTCAGCACATCGGAAGAGGAGCTGTCCTTGGGCACATATGGGGTGTTTCAGGTGACTTCAAGAGTTGACTGTGAGGTGCAGCCATTGGATTGATTTGATTACAAATTGGGACTTGAGTCTGTTTGCCTCTTGRATTTTTATTGCAAAGAAAATGTGTATTCTCTCAAACCCGTTCTATATTTTTTACAMGTGTTTTATGAAATGACTTTAACCTAATGCTCTTCTAAGTTYTGCTAAATGCACTGAGCTTTGGAGACGCTTCCCTGCTCTGGCTGTGTTCCAGCAGGAGCTGGTGGCTGCTGGACCAGCGAGCTACATTTCACCCCCAGAGCCTTACAGGACCTCAGGGGCGTGCGGGGCAGCGGCCTCAGCTGATGGGAGGAGGTGTGAGCACTGCTGAGCAGGGTTTGGTTCCTGGGCTGGAAGCTGCTGTGTGTGCAGACAGGACAGCTCTGCTGCCTCACAGCTCGTCCTGAGCCAGGACACGGTCTGCAGAGGCACTGCACTCTCTGCAGAGGCACTGCCTCTCGGGACAGCCTCGCTGTCTGCCTGGCTCCCATGGCCATCCTCACAGCCACAGCGAGGGGGGCAGCTCCTTGCCTTGTCTCGCCTTTATCTGCTCCACTGGGTACTGAGGAGCAGGCAGCTGCATGTTAGTACATGGAGGACACCACTGCTTGTGGCCAGGTGTCCTCATGACTCCCCTGTCACACGTGAAGTGAAATATTCAGGGTTGTGAGCTTTTTYCCCCCAAAGCCACGTGCTGGGTATGAGGAGAGCTGTGATCCTGAGATTTCTGAGAAGGGGGTTTGATCCCTTACAATGTTCACTGAAAATACATTGAAAACCAATCATGTGACTCCTTTGGGGTCAGTTTGATAAAATGCCCCTAGGATCCATGTGAGTGAGATGCTTTCCTTAGCCCTGGAATCTGAAAGTAGYTCATAGCTATCTGTACACCCTCACTACCTTCCTCTTCCTCACTTTCATTTSTTACAGGGTGCAAGTGGAGCATTCCAGCTGTGCCTGGTGCAGTGTGCCTTTTCCAGGCTAAGAAGTCAAGCTCTTAAGGGATTGTGAGTAGAGATGTCTCAAGACAGGAGTTTTCAGGCTTTAGTACTGCTCTTCTCACCTGTTGGTGCCAAAGGCTGTAAAAACCACAYGCCAATTTTTGTAGCATTTTCTGACACTCAGGTTAACTATCTTTTCTTTTTTTCCTTTTTTTTTCACTCTGTGTATGCTTATGAGCTGCCTTACTCGGTGTCCTTCAGAACTGTTAACCTACCTGAAGAGCTCTTGGAACAGAGTGAAGTGACAAATGGGGCAATGGGGTGGATACAACATGAGAGTAAAACCATGGTCCTGAATGTGGCTGGTCCTTGCCAAAGCCATTGTGTTACTGCCTTCCCAGTGGAAAAGCAGCCAGAAAGGTTAACAATTCACATGGCACTGGGGCTTGGCTCCAGGGCCCGGAGGAGAGTGGGGGCTGTGGRACACAGTGGCCATCAGCCACTGTTGGGTGGGTCTGGCCAGAGGTGTTCAGATGAATTAAAAATAGAAGGAAATGTGTTCTCTTCTTGTTGGTTCATCCCAGGACTCCAGGCTGAGCAGTTTTGCAGGGGTTTTGGCAGAGGGTCTGTGTGAGGTTGTGTTGCAGCACAGCAAAGCTGAAGGGAGAGGTGAGGCAAAGGCAAACTGCAGACASCAGTGACTCTAGAGCTGGTGTAACACCCCTGTGCACGAGTTATGGCCCATGGTATTTGCTTCCTAATGGCCTTAACAAACCTGGCTCTTCATACTTGAGATATCTGACAGTTTTTTGCATAAATGTAGCTTTTTTGTCTCTAGAGTTGTTTCATCTTTTCTTGTGATCCAGGTGAGATTGGTGTGCCCCACTAGGCTGACTGCCTTCTTTTATACGCAACGAAACCCAAGTCAGGCTATTTTCAGCCACTGTCCACTGTTCAGAGGAGGTGAAATGTGTGACTGTCAGGAAATGGGATATCCTTTGCCTTTTTCCAGCCTGTGTGCTCACCATGGTGTGCAGTGTGACCATACTGGAATCAGAAAAGCCCTTGTTACAGCAGGCATGCACGTGCTGCCTGTGGCAGCGAGAGCACAAGGTCAGGGGCTGACACTTCACTTCCAGCCACAAATCCCAGTGGATTTGAACAGGTTTTCCTTGACCTTGCTGAGGGACTGAAGCACAGGCCTTCTAGGATCAGCTGCTGGAGAAAGAGTCTGTCCCAAGGTACTTAGAAACCCTTAGTGGTTGTGGTCATGGAAAGGAAAAACCGGTATTTGTGTTTGCAGACTCAAAGAGCCCTGAGGTGTATAATTAATRTAATTAATGCTTTGGCTGCCCTAGCAGGGGGGGCCTGTGAGCACCAGCCTTGGAGCAAAAAGCTTCTAATCATTCTGGGTGTCCCAGTTAGTAAAACCGAGTACTGTGAAAATAAGTTGATATATTTGCTACTGTGAGAATAAGAGTTTATCTGGAGTTTTTATACTATATCGTGTATTTTTATATATGAGAAGTATATATAAAATATACACATGTTCACACGCATCACATACCCCTTGGAGTTGCTGTGGTTTTGGTAACCAGCAGCCTCAATCATTTTTGTGACTTGAGTGAATACGAGTTAAGCACCAAGGGTGGCTGCTGTGTTACTGTTCCATAGTGCTTATTTTGAAAGGAAATCAAGGAGATGGTATGTATGGCTAAAGTTGTGCCTGAGGCATCACCTAGTACTAAAGAGCATAAAAACTATTTTAAAATTGCTGGCATTCAGCTTTTAAGTGCACTTTCCTGAACTACACTTCCATTTCTTGTTAGACTTCAAGTTTCTGAAGCTTTCCTGTGTACTACTAAAGCAAGAACTTTTAACCTTTTTTGTGAAGCTGATGTATGTCATAAAATCYTTGGAGTTGTTAAATAAAAGAACTTGGTAACAGTGTCTTTGCGGGTCTCTTCAGCACTGGGAAGTATTCATGTGTAGGCTTTGATTTACTCATTATAAGCAGAGCTGCTGAATGATTTTTGTGGCTGTAAGCACCTATGAATCTCTTAAGAGTATTTTAAATAATTGTATTTGCTGCAAATCATCTTGTTTTGTCCAACTGGTTAAAAATCTGTGGATCATGTATTACTTTGAATTCCTTCGGTTCAGTATTACTCCTTCCTGCAGAAAGGTGTGCAGTTCCCAATGCCACTGCTGTGGACTGAGCTCTGCACTTCTGCACAGAAGCATACTGTGCTCTGAGCCCCTTCCTGCAGTTGTTCATTGGAGCAGGTTTTTCAATGTTCCTTGCTGGGTGACCAGTAAGAATGGAAATGGTCAAGAACAGATAGAGCAGCAGTAGGACTGTTAATAAAGAACAGTGGTAGCAGGCTGAAAGCTGAGTTCATCAGCAATTTCACCTAGAGATGCTCCTCCAAAAGTCCCGGTGTGTGCAACCTCCAGCGTGTGGCACAAGCTCCATGGGTTGAGCCATTCACATCTATTGTTGGCTGCATGGGATGCAGGAATGWTGTTACACCAAGGAAACAGCCAATGAATTGGAATTTATTTATAGGTTCAGTATGTACATCAAAGACCATCATGCAGCTTGATAAATTGTGTCAGGGTAATAAAAATGCACAGCTTGGCAATCAGTTTCTTTATCTGGTGAAAACTGCTATAGTTAAGAGTTTCCATTAAAAAAATACATTAGCGAATGCTAGTCAGTATTATTTCAGAGCACAGACACATYTTTCAGGTATTACTGTACACCTAACACCAGAAACAGACTTTGTACTTGCAAATTCCTTGTCAGGCTCCAGTAGTAGTAATTAGTGCACTTGAAACGTACTTGGCTGTCACGTTTAAAAACATTAAAAAAATCAGTGATGACACTGAAAGGCTTAAAGCTCGGGGAGCTGAATCGTTAATGCAGTCAGTTCTTGTCAACACTTGTTTCTGGAGTTAAAAACCAGAAGTGTCCAAACCACCATCTGAACCTGAACAGACAGCATCCGTGTCCAGCACAGCAGCAGTTCCCATGCTGCCTTCTCCACTGCCCAGAGGTTCAGGTGCCTGTCCACAGGCTTCCACCAGCACTGCACGTGTCCTTGGCACACTGAGCAGAAAATGAGCCCTGTCCTGGGCTCTGCCAAGGAGTCCAGAGAGAGGCAGCTTTGGGGGAYTCACAGAGCCTGCCCTGTGCAGAGYCAGCCTCTCCCASTGGAGTACAGGACAAATACACCAGRACAAAGCCACTCAGCATTAGTCCTAACAGCACCATTGACTCTAACCCCAAAGTCCAAAGGATTTCAATGCTCTTTGGAAGACTGGCACTCCTGGAGCTTAATTGTTCTGAGCTACAGCTTCCTAATAACCATTGTATTTCATGGCTCCTGGTGATCGTTTTATAAGAGATGATCCTAACAGCAAATCATGAAAGTCCAGACAGCATTTTCACTGTGGCAGGATTGTGGCAGCGAGTCCTTTTGGATAGCAGTGTTTGTGACTGCAGTATAACCCTTCACACGCAGGAAAGCYAAAGGTCAGGAATTTTCATCCCCAGCAGGTTCATTGATTGCAAAACATCATCAAACATGGACACACAGGCTTAGTGCTACTCCTGGAATATTTTGGAATACTGATTCCAGATTACTGAAGGGATCTAGAGAAATGTCACCAAGCAATGGCACTATCCACCTCGAGGGAGGCARTTTGTAAGATCTGCAATGAAGATCTCTGTGTGCTGGCTGTCATGTGATCCTATCTCGCAGGGAACAGAAAAGAGCTTGTCCTGAGTAAGACACAAGTCCACTGAATTCCAGTTTATACATTCCCGTGGCAGCACTGAAGTATAAAMACATCTTCCAGGCAAAGGCTAAAGGATGCACAGCCCACGGGGGCTGTGGTTGCAATCCAGGACCGCATCCCACAGTTCCCACAGTATTCCAGGCACACTGGCAGGAATGCTCTCCTAATTCTGCACACCACCTGAAAACCTGGAACTGAGTACCCTTGGCTGAGCCGTTGGTATTTGCCAGGGAACAAAACGTCCTGCTGGGGTCTGCATGCCAAGGTAGCTCAGCCTTCTGCTGTCCCGCTCCACTGCTTGCTCCTTGACTGCAGAGCAGGAACTGGCTGAGAAGGAAATGCCTCTCAGATCCCTGGAGTCCTGCTGGCTTTATCAAAGCTTGCAGTAAACACTTTGTCCCAGCGAAGGGGTAACAGTCCAGGAGCCAGGAAAGGAACTGCCTCAGTACTTCATGGCACAGTTCATCACGTGAGGTCCAGATCCTCGAAGTCACAAATCCTCTCCTATTGCTTCTGAAAYAGAGCAGGGAAACAAGGTAAATCACTGTGCACATATAATTAGCAACTCATCTGATTTCCACAACATCCAGATCAATGCCAAGTAGACTGAAAATCTGACAAAAGGCTAAGGAATAGGCTTAAAGACAAGTAGTAATGATGGTTTGAGACTAAGATCTGACACTGAGCTGGAAGGGATCTGGCAGGGCTTAGTCCAGCCTTCTCTAAAACTGCTCAAGGGCCCAGCAGCTCCAGCGAGCCTCACYCAGTGCAGCAGCACAGGCGAGCCGAGTGCCTGGCATCACATCCCTGCTTTTTATTTACAGCAGGCACCCATCACACCCGCCAGCACCCACTGTGGGGCAGCGATCTGAGCTCCAGGCCAGGATTCCCTAAGCCCAAGGGTAGAGTATCCTATTCCCTGAGGGTGGGAACAGCCGTACCTTGACTCACAAGTCCACTCCGTACTCAGGGCAGGGCTTGCTGTGTCGGTACTGCATGATGTACACCGTGGACTGGTGCCACCAGTACAGCATCACCACTGCCAGGATGTGCCACACTTGGTGGCTGGAGCCGAGGTAGTTCAGCTGGCCTGTGGGGACAACAGGGAGTTCAGCTGTTCAATYTGGCCACAGCGTGTGCAGTGCAATCAGCAGTCAATCTCCTGCAGAGCTCCATGACACCCTGCCCTTGATGGGTGATGGGGAAAGTTCTTTAACAAACTGGAGAGAAGTTGTCTGCCTCTTCCCACTGTTTTACTCTATGGGAACACTGCCTGTTCTCTCCCAGGAAGTTCAGGACCCACAGCAAGGACTGTAACACTGCAGGAAGCTTAACTGCAGGGAAAAAAAAAAAAACCAGCCAGAAGAGAATTTCCTACCTGGGAAGTATCTTTCTGGAACTTTGGAAATATAGAAGAGAAAAGCTACAGCAGCGATGAAGTACATGACAACTACCCGCGGAGCAAACTCCTGCAAAAGAAAAGGAAGCTCTCCTATTCTGTTAGAAGCCAAAAAATGAAAAAAAGTCTCTAAAGATAAAAAAGGAAAAGACATGACAACACTGAATCTTCCTTCCCTGCCTATGTTAGCTGTGCACAAATCCAATGGGGATGCAAATACCAACCTCTGGGAAAGCCTGAGTGGGAAGAAACCTGTTATTCGTCTGCTTCTACACATAAGCTATTCATTGCAGCTTACAGTAACATGGTATCTGTTCATGAAAGGACACCTGCCACTCCCCTGACCCTAACAGAGCAGACAGGGTGAGTGACTCTGCACTGCACATCCCACTTATGCTGAGATCACAGCTGCTGCACTGGAGGCCACAGGATTGCTCACACTGAGTGCYTAAGAACCAGCAACTCAGTCACCATGTGGGTTTTGTTTTCCTTAGCAGAGTATTTTACCAAAAGTGGGGCATTTCCCTGAAGTATGGAAACAAAATGTGTACCACAGACACCATCCTGTTATCCCAGGGGAAGCCAGATGGGGAAGTGAAGGGGGACAGCTGCTATTGATCTGAGTTTTAGAGGGCCAGACTGAAATGTCCTGTAGAAAGGCCACACATGTTTCCACTTGGTGCTCTGCCACATTTCACAGAAACTGTGGACCAGGCTGGACCCTCACCCCAGGGAACAGCCCTCCATCCAGGCCAGCCTAGATGTGTGCAGTTTCTCCTCACTATGAAATGTTTCCTTTCAGCACCATCAGGTGTTCCAGGATAATTGCAGCCATTTCAGGGAGCTTCATATTGGGCCACACCAGACTGCCTTTAGCTGCACTGTGCTGCTGCTTTCATAGTGTAATTCCAAGTGGGGAACCAGGAAAACAGGAACAGGAAAGAGCTGTTAGAGGAGGACTGTGTAGGAGACAGAGGGCTGAGCAGGTAAATGCTCATTTCTGCTGGCAGCCTGGGGAACAGTAGAGGAAACAACCATCCCATCATCCCAGTGTCTCCTGGTTGCCCTGTGGGGCTGTGGAGGTGGCCAGCCCRGAGCACACCTGCAGCCTGACAGGCTCCTTCCTGCTCACAGCCACCTCAGCTCCTGGCCCCTGCCCTGGCAGGGTGCAGTCTGCCCGCACAGGCTGCTCGTGTCCTGGCACAGACTCACCTGGATCCAGCTTTCTACTCACTGTGCAGCTTCAGGGCAGCACAGCACAGTGGAGCTTCCCAGCATGTCTACCCCTGCTCAGCACATTTCTCAGTGTTCCCATTTGGATCATATCAACCAAAAGAACTCTGTCCATAAAGGAATTCAAACTCCTGCTCCCCATTGTTTCCCCAAGTGTAACAGGACTCAAGGAAGATGGCAAGTCAAAAGGGAAGCTTATTTCCTTCTCTTTTGTTTTACCTGTACAATGGATGCACCAACACCGCCATTGAGCCAAACCCAGTGGATGGTGGGAATGATTCCATAGCCAGACACGGAGCAGAAAATGATGGAGCGCAGTCTGTGCCACTGCTGTGTGAGGTAACTGGGGTGGATCTGAGCAAAAAACACTGCCAGGATCATGGCCAGCACAGTGATCAAATACACCTGGCGCCAGTACTGAGGGCAGAAAGAAACAAAGGGAAGTTGGTGGGTTTCTWATCACGTGCAAAAGTCAGCTGTGGGCAGCAAGTTTCAGTGACTGAACACAGCCATACCTTAAAAGCTGTCCCTGCTGTGAGCACCACAGCGGGTCTGAGCACAGGGCTCAGTGTTTGTCAGCTGCCACTGAGGAGAAGGGACTCTGGCTCGGGGGCACAGGCCACCCCATCCTTTATTCAAGCACTCCTGCACCAAACGTTTTCAGTGCACCTGTGCCTCATCAGCCTAGTTCAGCTCCAGGACAGCCATATCCATGGCAGGCCATGGAAGGGAACTCATTTACTCATYCTCTTACTAGATGAGGAGAAAATAAGGTTGTTTCTGCCTCAYGGCAGCTACTTCGTGGGCAATGCTGTTTGAATTAAGTACCTGTGATGGGACACATCCCATGATCAGCCCTCAGGCACTGTGTACAGGTACGACCTGTAAAGTTTCCCTGCCTTGAGAGACATTTTAGYATTGAGGCTTGAGTGATCAACAGTTGGAAAAGAAAAGCTGCATTTGCTTGTCTCTTCAGCCCTCAGTTTTGCTGAGGTCAGAGGGACATGTTGCAATTCCCATCCCTGTCTCCCCACTCCTGTTCTGTCTGGACACCTGCACAGACCCCCCTTCCTGCAGCASGAAACTGCAGTGAGAGCACAGGAACAAAACCCTGTAAGGACACGTGCTCCTGACTTACGTTACTGCAGTAGAAGGCATAGAAGACGCCTGASACGTAGCAGCCCAGGATCCCGATGGAAATTCCCGCGTAATCCAGWGCCATCCAGCGCCGGCTGGTCTTCTCTGAGCGGTGACAGCAGAACAGGTGATAGCCTACTGAGCACAGCATACAGACCTGCACAGAGGTCCAGAGGAGGAGGGTTAGTTCCTTACARAGGAGAAGGGAGCACAGCAAGCTGCAGCCCTGCAGCTGGAGCAGGCACCTGGCTTGGGACATGTTGTGCAGTGCACATTGGTGCAGGCACTTGTCATCCCTGCCAGCCCTCCAGAAAGCTTTTGTGGCAAGGGGCAGGAGGAGCAGGACACTGCAAAACACGATAACCAGTTGCACAGGTCAGAGGAGTGGGCTGGTGACACCAAATGAGCTGATGACATTGCTCCAGGGAGCAGTGCACCACAACAGGGAGATGATGAATTCTGCTGGGCCAAACTGCCACAGGCAGAACCCAAAGCCCAAAYCTGCCCTGACTGCCCAGCACTCACTGGGTGGGAACACACAGAAATTTAACTCTTAGACACAGGCAGGCTGCTTGTTTGCTCTCAGGCTGCATTAAAATCTTTTCCCTGAGAAGTGTTTGGTTCTCTGTGASTTTCTGCAGGGCAGGAAGGAGAGCAGTGCTTTCCCAGCCAGCCAAGGGAGTCTTCCCCACTTGCAACTCTACAAAGGCATCCTGTACCCTGCAAAGAACACCAGTGGTGCCTTTAGCTCGCTGTGCTCTTGCAAGGACCCTATGTCACAGGAGCTGCAGTGGCCACTGGAAACACACCTCATGTCTGCTGTGGAAACAGATTTATCTGACAAGTAAGAAACCAAGCCCTGCTGCCCTTCCTGACCATCAGGCCACGGCTGATGTCCATGCTCYGGTGCTTGGCCCTTTCCAGCAGCACCTGGCACAGTCTGCAGCCACGTCAGGGCCCCTTCAAGCTGCGCAAGTTCCAGACGCACCTGTTTACCACCGACTCTGTCCTGTGCCAGCAGTGTTCAGTTCTCTCCAGCTTATTCCAGATCACATCTGCCCCAGCACARGGGCTTTACCTGGAAGAGCGATGCCACTCAAACCGCGCTGTCCCCGGRGCGAGCCGAGGCCGCCCAGCGGGAGGTTGTTCAGCAATGTCTGCAGCCGGTGCCTACCTGGAAGCAGAAGAGGCAGACGGAGCAGATGACGAAGTCCTCGCGGGAGGCGCCGGCCGCCGGCAGCACGGCCGTCAGGTCGTAGATGCCCAGCGTGAAGAAGAGCAGGAAGCCGAGCAGGTGGCTCCAGATGTTGACGGTCTCGTTGGAGAGGATGAAGAGGCTGAGGGAGAAGAGACACAAGGCGGGGCGGGCGGTGAGCGGGGGCGGCGGCGGGGGGAGGCGCGGGGCCGCGGGGCGCGCTCACCTCTTGATGCAGAGGCGGGAGGGCAGGTAGGCGCGGTATCCATCGGTGATGTACGGGTTGTCCTTCAGGAACACCGGGATCTGCTCGTACGTGTAGAGCCGGATGCCGCGGGGCACCAGCACCGGCCAGTACTGGTAGCTGCCCAGCTCGATGTAGTGCGCGCTGCGCAGCAGCTTCTGGTGCATCCTGCCCGCCGCCGCATCGGACCGCCCCAAGCCGCCCTCACGGGTCGGGGGCCGGGATGGGGATCGGGATGGGGATCGGGATGGGGATGGGGATCGGGATCGGGAGCGGGATCGGGATCGGGATCGGGATGGGGAGCGGCACCGGGAGCGGCGCCGGGAACGGCCGTGATGACGTCACCGCGGCGCCCACCGATTACGTCAGGGCAGGGCTCCGCCTCGCGCTGTCCGACAATGACCGCGAGGCGGCGCCCGAGACCCGCCAAAAGCCCCCACGGCTGACGTCACCGCGCGCCTCTGCCCCGTGCCGTCTGGCA